AACCTAACTCTGCCACTAACTAGCTGTGTGGCATCAGGTATTTTCTTACCCTCTCTGAGACACTCTCTACATCTTTAATATAAAGATTAATAGTTACCGTGCAGTGATGTTGTGAAGATCAAATGAGATTCTTCTGGAAAAATATCACAGAGCACAGAGCTTTACACATGGCAGATAATAAATGATAGCTATGACGATGAAATACAACCTCACAGAAACCACAATCACATGTCTTAACTTGAGAAAGTAAGAGGTTAGCAAGTTTATATGGGTCACTGAAACCTTTTCTTGAAACTTACTACTCCATTAAATCCAAAGCCTGGGAACTACTTGTAATTCTCTGAGTAACCCAAATAAAGTTCCTTTATGTCGGTCAGATCTGATTGCTTCAGTTTCTGGGCATCTGGGTGGAAACTCGGGCTCCTGGAGGCTGAGATTACTCTGGCTTCATGGTAGACAATCTGTGACTGGCTTGGGAAAGCCATTTTTCTGTCAAGGGAGATATTTTGTAAGGATTATGGGGCCCAGAGTGCTCCTTCTCATGTGAAGAGCCTGGTTGTAGCAGAAGCTGGTTGTGCCTTTTTGTTGTCCACAGTGACAGAAAGGTGACGACATAGATAAGGGCCTGCCACAAAACAGAACTGCTCTCTAATCAATAGGCAAGGGAGTCAAAGCACTTCTGTTGACATTTCCCTCTTCGGCAGATAATTCAACACTTTACAGAGTCCACGTTTTTGCCCATTGCATATTGACTCCACCCCACCCCCACGGTTCACATCCTGAATTCTGCCTCTCACTCATCTTCTGAGGAATGGCAATTTGAAGCTATTGTGTGGTGGCCCTGTCTGACAGCTATTGCTGCTAGGGGAAAAGGCCAAGCTTCCATGAAATATCTGGGTGTTTTACAAGAAGGTGTTTCTCATGACCTTTTCCAAGGGGGTACAGCTGTCCAGGAGTCTGTGTAGGTGGCCACATGATGGCAGTGGCCAAGGTTCTATACAGATCACACTGCTGTTGTAGGGGAAACATAGACTTCATCCACCTCTCCTTTGCTCCATTCTTAAGGGCTGCCTTGGGGAGTAGTTTTAAAGATTGGAGGCTGTTTGTGCAGAAGGGACAGGGGAATGGAAGTGGGCCCACACTAAATATGGAGTGGGGCTCGCTGTGTTGTGCCACTTGCTAATGGTAGCCTCCCCTGAGATTCCTATGAGGCCAGAGGGAAACTGTACTACAAACTACAAGCCTTACTAGTGATTTGCAATACTGCCTTTTAGCTCATTGGAAACTAAATTGTTTTCCCAGTGTATAAGCCTTGTTCAACTTTCAGATATTTGACTGTCAAACATTTCTCAGGATCCAATAAATATTACAGTTTGGGACTACCTGTACTTTCTGGGTCTTATTTCATGTTGATCTGGGTGATGTTGCTGTCATTACCTCATGGGCTCTGATTAAGTTTAGCCTTTTAGTAGCTGATTTTGCACTATCCATTTGCTCTCCTGCTCTGGGAAGATTGTACATTTGCACATGCTGCTCCCTCTGGTTGACTTGCTCTGCTTCCTGCTTTCTCTACCTAATGCTCACTCACCTTCTCAGAATCAGTTCAAGGGCAAGAAGCTTGAATAGGCACTTCATAAAAGAGGATATCCAAATGGCCAATAAACATACAGAAACACAGTCTACCATATTAGTCATCAGGAAGATGCAACTTAAAATCTCAACAGGGTGCCACTATGTATTCAATGGAATAGCTAAAATAAAAAAGACTGAAATTTTCAAGTTTTGCTAAGGGTATGGAGCAACAGAAACTCTTATGAACTGCGGGCATGAATGAAATTGGTACAATCATTTTGGAAAACTATTTGTAATTTGTTGACTATAAGTATAATGTATGATCCAGCAATTTAATTTCCCTTGTAGATATTTACCCAACAAAATTCATGCAGGTATGGATTAAAAGACACGTACTTGTGAGCAGCATTATCTGTAATAATCTAATATTGGTAATAACCCAAAGAACCATCAATAGTAAAATGGAATTATCTGCAGCATATTCATGTAGCGAAATGCTATACAGCAGTGAAAATGAATGAACTGTGACAATAGGCAACATGGACCCATCTCACAAAAACATGCTGTCAAGTGAAAGAAGTCAGGCACAAAAGATATATGGTTGTGCCGTTTAATTTATTTAAAGTTCAAAAACAGGCAAAATGAACCTATAGTGTTGGAAGTCACAATGGTGGTGATCTTGGAGAAGAAGGCGGGGTTACTGATGGCGGCTCTGGTAATGTTCTGGATATGAGTGATGGTTACATGGGTGGGTTGACTTTGTGTTAATTCATTAGGCTATCTGCTGAGATTCCTAATGTTTATGTATATATTTCTAATTCAATAAAAAGGTTTGTTTTTTAAAAATGCATGTGTAAAAGGAGGAGAATCATTTCAACTGTTGGCTCCTTCAGGAGACATTTCTGACTCCTCTTCCATCTTAGGCACCTAGGCCATGGGGGAATGGAGATGGGCCAAATCTATATCCCAGCTTTCCAACACTCAATTCATTGGTTTACTTGTCTATGCTCTGTTTGACAAGAGATTTAAATGCATGTGGTGTCTTGGGACTCGTAGTGCGTAACTCAGAGGTGTTCAATAAATGTTGGCTGATGAATTTTCCCTTAACCTGGTAAATACAGAATTCATCCTTGTCACACTGTTTATTGTCCTTGTATTTTATCAGCATTAGGCACACAGGCCCATATTTGTATAAAAGTCTACATATATTCCATATTCATTTACAAGAACAAACCAAGGCTGTATTTGAGTAACTAGTAACTGAACCACATTTTTGGAGCACCAAATCAGAATCTAAAATTACGCCCTTTCATCTAGAGGTGACCTATCTTTAACAAGATTAATTTAATTAAATCACTCAAAATAGTAAGTTTAATTTGCTTTTGTAAGAAAATATATTAAACATGGAATATGTGAATCTTTTATTTAAACCTAACATTTCTCTCTCTTTCCTCCCTAACCTTCAAACTTCAATTCCACCTCAAATGATGATGACATACACATCACTCTAAGCTGGTCAGTCTACACTTGCTCTATTGTGAGGCTACCAATGGACCACATTAGCCTACATTTTTGCTCACTGAAGCTGCTTAAAGCAATAGGCTACAAAGATGTCCCTTGTTCTCAAATGTTGTTCTGATGGCTTGTATATGGAAGCCTGTGCTAAAGCCGTGTTTTCCAAATCAGTTAAGATTAAGAATTAATTAAGACACATTAAAAATAGAGACTTTTAGAAAGGGGAATGTCAGCTGATTTTTATCAATTTAAGGAAAGAGCAGGTGCAACAGTCAGCTCTACCCTCACTGGTTACTTAAGAACAGAACAGGGAGCCTTGTTCCACTAAGAGTCAACTTATATTGCCTTTTGGTAAAGTAAATTAAATGCTTGGAAAAAAATAGTTGATCTACATAATAAGTATTCTATAGTAACATAACAGTTGTATAAAGGATGAATTTCGGATACTTCTCAGAACTCATCTGAAAATTGTGAAAAAATATTCCATTTAGAAATACTTTAAAATTTGTCCGGGC